AAAAAAAAAAAAAAAAGATGAGTCCCCACATTCTCTTACCTGTACAAGTGATTGACTCGAGGGTTAACGCCCAAGGAATTCATCCAGTTCCTAAATGTCCGCTCTTCCCTTGTCTCACCTAAATTAATGAAGACCTGTTATCTTTCGGGCGCCTAGAAAATATGCCTTTTTTATGACCAAAGTTTAACTAAAGAGGCTATAATAAAAATTGAATCTAGAATGAAGAAACCTCATTCAATAAACCTTAATGGATTTGGATGAGGACCGTTATTCTGTGTTCGTTTTTTCTTTCCTAGTCCAACTCAGCGAGTGTTTCTATAGCATGTTAGTAGGGCACAAGTTCCTGTGTGGAGAAGCAGTTCACAGTCGGCCCCCAAAAGTTCACATTCTTTCAGGAGAAACAAGACTTTTAGGCAACAAAGCGAGATCATGCAAGCCCCAGGGCCAACACATGAGGTGAACATATTTGCTCCTTGAGTTGAAATAGGAGAGAGAACAGTTTGGAATGGAGTGGAGTTTGAGCTTCACCTTATAGGGCTAGTAAAACCCGGACCGGAAGGAGGAAAGAGGAGAGGATTTGAGGCATCAGGAAGTAGTGGGAAGAGAAGACAGCATACATACGAGCATGAAGGGAGTGACAGACGAGGTCTGTATTAAAACAATCAGGAAGTCATTTTTCAGAATCTGTGTGATTCGCGGAGAGAAGGCTGCTTGGTGGCTGCAACCAGAATTGGGGCTCTCTGAACGCCAACCACCAGATTTGGGTTGATATATTAGACAATGCCAGTCATCATAGGTTCTTTTTGTAATTACGACAATAAATTCTTGAGCAAGGCAGAGATATAATGAAGGCGGAAGTGTGATGTGCCTGGCAGCAGGGTGCAAAATTACTGAAGGGCAATATGCATTTAAAGATTTTATTTATTTATTTGACAGAGAGAGAGAGATAGTGAGAGCAGGAACACAAGCAGGGGAGTGGGAGAGGGAGAAGCAGGCTCCCCACCAAGCAGGGAGCCTGACATGGGGCTCGATCCCAGGACCCTGGGATCATGACCTGAGCCGAAGGCAGACGCTTAACAACTGAGCCACCCAGGCGCCCCAAGCCCAGCCAATTTAAATGTGAGATGATCGCAGATAATCCCTGTAATATCTTTGGGCTTCTTCATACAATCATAATGAAATTGCTATGAAATAAAATCTTTTGTGATATAATCTTTCTTTCCTATCAGTAAAGCTGCCAGAAGTTGATTTTGGAAGTTTTAATAAAACCTCAAGTTATGCCTTACAGCCCAGCACCGTGTTTCCCAAACTGTGTGTCACTGAAAACAATAGGGTCCCTCAGAAGAATCCTGAGTCACAAAAGTTTGAGAAGCACCGCAGTAGCACATCACTGTCTTGAAGATTCATCATACATATTTATATAATTTCTGTCTTTACTTTAAAAGTAAAAGGTTAGGGCGCCTGGGTGGCTCAGTCATTAAGCGTCTGCCTTCGGCTCAGGTCATGATCCCAGGGTCCTGGGATCGAGCCCCGCATCAGGCTCCCTGCTGAGCAGGAAGCCTGCTTCTCCCTCTCCTGCTCCCCCTGCTTGTGTTCCTGCTCTCGCTATGTCTCTCTCTGTCAAATAAATAAAAAATAAAATCTTTAAAAAAAAAAAAAGTAAAAGGTTAAACAGTGTCTCCACAATCACAGACTGTACTTAATCATGAATTTACCTTTAAGATCAGTTAATGTTTTGAAGAACTCAGTTTGGGATTTGTTGGATTACCATCCTGTTTGAACTTTTAGTTTCCGTTAAGGCTGTTGGATGCCAGCCTTCCGAAGAAATATACAACTTCTTTCCAAATCAGTGAAAACACAGTTTTGTTTTGTTTTGTTTTTTGACCAATCAGCAGGCATTGAGAATTATTACAAAGTTTAGAGGAGACAGAAGCCTGAGTAATTCATTTTATCCATAAGATTTAACAAAGGAGTTCTGGCAGCCTTGGTGTATTTTTTAAATGCTATTGAGATTATTTGGTATTGGACTCTACCTAGGATTAGGATTGCTCCTGCTACCTTATGTCCTTGGAACTGACCCACCAACCACAGGACAACAGGCAGTAGTCAATAAACTTGTGTTGGCTTATTTGTTTGTACCCCTTAGGTTTGAATACCAGGTTTAGATTCTGTAATGCCAGGAAGGCACAGATCCTTTCCATATGGCCCCCTTTCCCACTACCCTGCCAGTCTCCCCTCATGCCAGCCCCCACCCCACTTCCACCGCGCACCCACTGGGACATCCTACCTGAATAGGAGTGCTGGGTGCCGACACTAGACTGCTCCGAAGTACCACCAATTGCACAGATCCCTTCCTTCTTGTTGATTGCCTTTCTAAAGGTCTTGGCAACATCTGTGCTTTTTAGGCCATGAAAAACCTGCCAAAATGTAATGTACCTTTAGAAACCCAATCTGTGATCAAGAAAACCACAAAGGGAAGAATATGTAATGTTGAAGCAAGGAGGGTGGGAATGTATTTCTGGATATTTTTCAAATTAAAGCCCCAGGTTTCAAATGCATCTCCTTGTATTCTGCATCATACTCACCTTGATAAACTCATCAAAGCTGATCCTCCCATCCTGGTCTAGATCACCTGTAGCCATCAGGTTTTCTGTGATTTCTCTCACTCTGTACCCAGGCAGAGGCAAGCAAGCAGCCTTGAACAAGTCATTCAACTCATTGCAGCTGATGTACCCATTGCCGTCGGTATCTGCAAAGCAAGCAGCCACCTGAAGTTTCAGGGCAATTCGGGTAACAGGATGAAGAGGTGAGGGAAGGTGAGTGTGCTGGAGAGGCAATCATTTAGGGTCCATAGCCTGACCCCATGCAAGAGCCAGAGTCTCACGAGGGGCCTGTTTCTATGAGAGATGGACATTAGTGTCCCTTCCAACATCCACGAGTCATCATGTCACAACAGAGGTTCTGGAAGCAGGAGCTGAAGAGACTTATAGGAACAGATGGGAAAATAAATCACAAGCTTAGAGATATAAAGAAAAACTACAGAATTGTAGAAAAACAAAGGAAACCAAAGAAAACAGACAAGATAAAAATAGGAGAAAAGCTGCAGGTGTGAAAGTGTTCATTCCATGTTTTGATAGAGAAAGAAGTAATTTTCCTAAAGTGAACCTTTCAAAATTAAGTTCCCCCAGCTCCTCTGGCCAATACCACTGTATTCCTTTCACTTGTACCATTTTGCTTATATTACCATTTCATCGAATCTGTCCTGAAGCTACTCAGTAAAGAGGAGAATTATGTGACTTGAGCTGCCTGGTCTACTCACCAACTTTGGCAAAAGCTTCTCTGAGCTCCATCATTTCTTCATCGGACACTGATCCTCTCGCCATTTTTATTGCTTTAGGCAACAGATCTGCAGAAGGAAAAGAACAGAAGGAATGACTTCTGTGCATCTTAATTCTTAAAGTACCACATTAAGCAGCAGTCTCCATTTATTAAATGAAGAAATATCCCTCTGCATCCCTCATGATTTATAACTATCTTTCCAATATGTAAGAAATCGCCTTATGCTTAACGCTCCATGTGGTGGTCTCCAATTGGCTCTCACCACCTTCTCCTCTCCCTGTGTGTATAGAATGCTCCTCACATCAGGAGGTGGAGCTGATTTCTCTCCCCCTTGAATCTGGGCTGATCCTGCATCTGCTTTGAATACTGAGAAGGCAGTAGAAGCCATGTCTGGGACTGGAATCTTCTGGCGCTTTCCTTTTGGAATGCCCGTTCTTAGGATGTTCCCTCTTGGAAACCAAGTGCCATGCTGTGAGTAGTCCAAGCCACATGAAGAAGCCGATGACTGGGTACTTTGGTTAACAGTCCCTGCTGGGCTCCCAGCTGACAGTCAGCATCGACTGCCATGCACTGCAGTAGGGCCATTGGAGATGTTCCCACTGATTTGAGACCCTGGATGTCCACAGTCCCAGTCAAATCACACGGAGCAGAAAAATCACCCAGATGTGCCCAGTCAACAGAATCAAGAGACACGATAAAATGATTGTTGCTTTAAAGCACCAAGTCTTGGAGTGGTGTGTTACATGGTAATATACAACCATAACACTTAACTTTTACATAAATGTCTTTTTTAGAGATGATGTCATGTCACATCACATCTGTTGGCCAAGCCAACAGATAACTTTTATAACTTCAAAGGGAGTTTTCAAAGTTCTCTAAATATTTAGAGAAGGAGGAAGGGAACCTGACCCTCTAATAATTCATATATGGGAATCTGAGGGACTTTTGAAGTGTTCTTTTTTCAGAAAGGCTCGTCTTGCTGAGAAACCTAAGGCTAGCGCTGGAGTTATTCATTCTCCTTTCCCTGAGCTTTATTGCTGCCCTCTAGTGGGTAGAAAGACAATGAAACAGAAAACATATTCTCCATGCCCCTAGCTAATTTCACACCAGAATATTTCAAATTGGAGTTCCACTAAAGCTTGCTGGATTTCCTGGTGGGGAAGGAATGAGTGAGTGGGGTGGGAGTGTGGATGATGGGGTATTTTTACATGGAATTATAATTTGAGCATTTTAGTGAAGTTATTGATTTTTTAAAAATATATTTGTTGCAGGATATTGTTTTAAATGAATTTCCTTTCTATACATTCACAGCATTCTCTAGTGCTGTGCTTGTTCTCAGTGGCAACCAACAACCACAGAAAAACAACAGTTTTAACACTTCCACCCATAGGCCAAAAATGCCTTATGTTCAATTCTGCAAAGCCACATCTATTATCCACCAACTATTTTGTCATGTACATAGAGCAGTGGCTTCAAATTTTTGTTTCCCTCCAAATCCTTTGTTACCAGAAGCTTTACATGTAGATAAAAGCGAACAAATAAAAAGAACAACTCTGAGAGGCTTTGGTTGAAAAATCCCAAATGTCCCCCTGCCGCCACTAGCCCACTTCCTGTCACCTTATGTACCTGGAGGAACTCAAGGGAGCATGATTTGAAAGTCACAGAATCAGATATTGTTGCTATTTCAATTCCTCTACAAATATGTTTTATTATCCATAAAAATTTTATTATTTACCTTATGTATCTAAGAAGTTTCACTGGTTCTCTGAAGGAAGGTAAAACTGTGTAGAACTTAACCATACAAGCAAACATGAGTTACACAGCACAGTGACCCTCGGGGACAGGCAATGGCTAGCTGACTTTCTTGCCATCTTCACTCCCTTTCCTTTTTTTGTCTGTCTTTCTCTGTCTCCTTCCTCCCTTTTTTTTTTTCATCCTTTCCTTCCATCCATCCTTCCTTCCTCCCCAACCCCCACCAAGCCTTGTCCCCAAAACAATTTGAGCCAGGTTACAAAATTACATCCAAACCTAAGAATTAAATGAATAAAATCATACAATTGTTTTTTTGTTTTTTAATATAACTTTTTAAAAAAGATTTTGTTTATTTGAGAGAGTGAAAGAGACAGAGAAAGAGAGAAAGCATGAGCAGGGGGGAGGGGTAGAGGGAGAAGCAGGTTCCCCACTGAGCAGGGAGCTCCCGATGCTGGGCTCGATGCTGGGATCATGACCTGAGCCGAAGGTTAGATGCTTAACTGACTGACCCATCCAGGTGCCCCCAAATCATGCAATTGTTAAGGAGAAATAAACATGGGCAAAATAAGATAATGGCAGGGAGGAGCTTTATGCCTCCAAATCCAGAGTTAAGACTGCACATTTTGCTAGAAGGAGGCTGAAAATCTAGCTCCAAGTTCTCTAGAAGCTAATGCAAAAAGGAAAATGTCATCAGTTACATAATTCACTCTATCTATATAAGCCAAAGAAACCAATTTTTTTAGGGCTACAGAACCGAGGTCTGATGGCAATCCCTTCACCCAGGCCTCAAGGAGAGGACACTTGTGGGATGCAGTAAACACAAGCTTTGTGTTTATTATAATGTCTCTCAATGAAATCTGATGGCATAAATATATGTATTCCCATTTTGTAGAACAGGAAACAGAAGCTCAGAGAAGTTAGGACACATATCTCAGATCACACAGCCAGGGAGAAGAGCAGCCAGGATTCCAATTCTCAAATCTTTTCTCTTCACTCACGCTATCTATTCAGGTTCAATGCCTTTACACTTGTGTTAGATATTCATTTTGTCCACTCATTCGCTCACTTAGCAATTATTCATTAGTCGTCTAATATGTATACTCCATGGGAGATTTAAAAAACTATAACAGAGAGCCTATCTAGGTGTTCTAGCTTAGGAAGATCATGCTTTCACGTGTTAGGAAAGCAAGTCTTCTGGGTTAAGAAATTAGTACATTAACTTTGTACCCTTTACTAGATCCTTGTGACTAATTTGGCCAGGCTCTCCCTTATGCCTTTACAAATATTCCCTATAGACATGAAGAGAAGGCTCTCCTCCATCCTACTTTAGCAAGATCTTTGATAAAGTCTGGTCTAAAGCCACTTAACACTTCTTCGTTCATGGATGTTCATGGGATTATAAGAGAAATTCATTCATTTACAAATATTTTCTGAATGTCTACTATAAGCCAGGTACTGCCCCTCCTTTCAGGCAAGGGACATCTACATTGACCTAGTTACCCTGAAAGCATGAAGCAATGTTAAAGGTAAGGAGAATGAATGGGATCTCTGAGCCTTCTGAGCCTAAACTTAGCCCTATCCTTTGACATAGAGTTTTAGGTTGTAGAGCATGGTAAGAGACCGGTGAAAAACACAAGTAAAGGTAAAAAAGGAGATGATATTTTAAGGGTCAAGAGCGGGACCAAAGAAGAAACAAAAGAGTTATAATATTAGGTGAGAAAGAAAATCTAAAGATCATGGTACAATGAAAAAGTAGAGAAATGTTTTAGCATAGAAATTGCATGGCCCATTCAAATTAAAGACCTAGAAAGGGAGGTAAAAAAGCATTATTTTAAAACCATGTGATTTTTAAACCATGGCAAGTAGGTCAAGATGATAAACATGAGCATCTGGAGAACTGTATTTTTCTAAGAGATTTATAAATGGGGAAGATCAACTTGGAGAAGCCATATAGTCAGACAGTCGTCACATTTTAAAAATCCAAAATCCTTCAGTGGTTAAAAGCTAAAGGAAAATTTATTTGAAAAGGTGAATTGGACGGGGCGCCTGAGTGGCTCAGTTAAGCATCCAACTCTTGGTTTCACCTCAGGTCATGATCTCAGGGGTCGTGTGAGATGGAGCCCTGCATTGAGCCCCATGCACTGGGCCTCCATGCTTAGTGGGGAGTCTGATTGACCTTCTTTCCCTCCCTCTGCCCTCCTTGCACCTTTAAATAGATTCATACATATATACAAACTTTAAAAAGGTGAATTGGAGAAGGAATAGTCAACAGCCCAAGTTACTGTGCTACTGTGTTGTTTTGGGGTGTAAGCATGAATATCTGGAGCGGGTCTCATTTACTATCAGAATGAGCAGTAAGTCCTGGAAACACAAGCCAACTTTTAGAGGCAGAAGGAACTTAAAGAAATAATTGATTACAACTCCTTCATTTTATAGATAAGAAAAAGAAAGTTTTCATGAGATGAAATGCTTTGTCTATGTACATGTTCTCGAAGCAAGGCTGGAGTTTTAAATGTAGTTGCTGGTGAGCAGAGCAGGAAGAGGGTGGAGGTACCCTTAATAGGGCCATTAAGGTCCATAACTGAGAAGAGACCCTTTAACTAAGTGAACCAAACACGCAAATGGCAGCATGTTCACAGAACAGAGAAGCAGGAAGAGGAGGGAATTAAAAACACGCAGATCAGACCGTTTCTAAGAAGGGTATTGCTGGGGTTAGAATCAACTATTAGGTACTTTACACAGTCTATTAATGTGTTTTTCTGGAAAAAACATACCCACTTCATGCCCATTCGAAGGTACGGGTTATAGTAATGGTAGTCAGATTCATAAGGATAGTAAGTTAGGGTTTCAGTTTGCAAATTACTGGTACCACGTTGGTGGCAGTCTCTGGAGAGCTTGCTGCAGTAATGGGATGTGCTGAGCCATTTGGAGCCTGAGAGAAGTGGCTGAGGAAGGCATGTTCCTTCCCGGTTCCACTCTACCGCTCCTGCGTTAACTGCGGCCCCCGTTTGTTTTTTCCAGTTTTACTGAGAAATCATTGACATGGATCACTGTGTAAGTTTAAGGTGTACAGCATGATAGTTTGATTTACGTATGATCAGAAGAGGTTCGGCTAACATCCATCTTCTCCTACAGATACAATAAAAAGAGAAAAAGAAGAAAAGAATAAAGGGACTATTTTTTCTTCTTGTGATGACAACTCTTAGGATTTGCTCTCAGCAGTTCTCCTATATACCACACAGCGGTGCCAGCCATGTGCATCGCATCCCCAGGACCTGTTTATCTTATAAGTGGAAGTTTGTACCTTTTGACCGC